TATTATTGTGTCTTTTCTTTTGTCGACGATACAGGAGGACTAACTGGTGAAGGGATCAATTCCATTCACAGCAGTAACAGTTTTAACACACCTCATACTACAAACGACATATAATTAATCCCTCCTTTTTGGAGTCAACCAAAGTTACGGTAGTCGAGTGGCGGACGAGCTGCGCAGAAGTTTACCAAAGATCAGGAACGCTTACTTCACAATCAAGAGGGGAGCACGAAGATATCAAATTGGTTTATACTAGCTCGTAAAAACGATATTGGATATTGGATACTGTTGAGTACTGGTTCTCACACGGAGTCAAAACCCTTGGAACCGACTCCCAGAAGAAGTGGTGTATGCAACCTCAACTGATTCATCCAAGAAGGAATTGAACGAGCACAGAAATCTACTAGAAAAGGGTTACCATAGGCTCCAGGACTTCTATCCTCAAACAGTGCATCTGAATCTAAAATCGGGATGCGCACAATTTGAATTTGGACGGCACACTTGTTGACGGGAGCTTATTGCGGTGGGTCTAGTGTAGGGTCTCGCCTCACTTTGATAATAAAAAAGAAATGCAGACTGAACTAGGAATACTTAAAAAAGTGATTATGTTATCTTTCGTCAGTACAAAAGAATGAATTGACTGCAGTCAGTTTTTTTAAGTGAAAATACACCAAAGACCAGCATTAATGCTGGTCTTTGGTGTATTTCTGCACTCTTATTTCATTACCCAGTCTTGAAATTATCCTTAGTTATTTTATTCACTCTTTGATAACTTAATATCCTGGATATATAATTGAAGAGGTCCTTTTAAGTGATGAGTTTCGCGAAAATCGTAAAATCACCACTTTATTCACTACTCATCCTGTTCCGCACGACGATTCCGACTACAACTTCGAGTTTCTATTGAGCCTTACGCCTATGTAAAATTTTCGTGGTGCTAAGGAAACAGTAGAGGTTTTCTGGAGGGATTAAGGTTTTTTTCGGGAAGTTCGCGAACTTCTCAAATGGAGAAGGGGTACTATTTGTGCTTTCTTATAGAGAGAATATTATTTTTCATTCAGATTCCCACATTTCTCCTCGCTGAAGTTCCTTGAAAATTTGGAGGCTCTCTCCATACGGGAGAATTGTGGGGATGGTTTCAAAAATTAGAAAAATGTGGTTTTTGTCACGTTTTGTCTATTCTTATTCTACTTATTGGCAGTTCAAAACAAATAAAGGAGACACTTTGGTTTCACGTAGTGCGCTGTAAAAGGGTGTTTCTCGAAACAGATTTTTTGTGGGTTTTTCTGCAGTGTACATGAAGTTTCTTATATCTAAAGTCAGTATCTGCACTCAATCATGCAGAAATAACTCTGGCAAATGTGTAAATAATCTGTTGGTGAGAGCGAATAAGGCGGAAATACTGTCTGGATGAAGTTGGTAACACGTATGTTGAAAAACCGCCAATATCGTCATATTTACCACTTTCAGTGGCCTTATCTCACAACCAAAAAATAGGAAGTAAACAGCACACATCGCTAATAGACAACTGGATGTCACACCAACATTAAGAATGATGCAACCTGCCGAATGACAAACAACTGTTTTGTATCTTTGAGGAGATCTCTGTAGTAGGTAACGCGTTTGATCTTTACAACTTCATGACTAAGTGAAGTGGCCAACATAAACACGTATTTCTCTGCCTATTCTTAAAATAGGAGTAGGTTCAGGTCTGTCTCACAGCACCATCTTATGTTTGACAGGTGCGAATAACATATTAGGATGTACAGATGACTGCATTTTGACTGTGTGCATACTCATTAAATGAGACTGTTCCGTGGTAACAAGGTAATCCCCAAGTCACTGAAATTGATCAGTCGCGTCCATTAGTACATCTATGATGAAACTGAAGGAAAGTGGCAACATTGGCTATCCCAACGGACATCACTGGTTGTCATTGCTTCACTTAACCATATTCAGGAAGCGCTTGCATGCTATGTGGGTTCAAATAGAGTGCCTTCATTATTGCGACCTACGTTTTCGGCATTTTTAATAGCTATACACTGCAAAAACACCTCTTGATTGACGGAGTCAACTGGTGCCTTCGCGTCAAGAAATATGGTAAATGTTGAGGTTATTAAATTATCTTTTGCGTATGTTTGCCCACCTCAGCGCTGCTTTTTTTTGTAAATAAGGATCACGATAACAGAAGACAAATAGTGCTGAGAAGAATGTTTGTTGCCAACCTGTGAGGTTACGAAATTGTATGACATCCAGGTGGCTAATTAAAACCCAGTGCATAAAACCTCTATGCTGTATGATTGAAAAGCGGCGACAGTGGTACAGATGTATCCACACTTTATGTACATCTTTTTATGTGTATTGACTCAATGAAGTTGCAGAAATCCTTATTATTCGGTGATTACAACAGCCCAGTGTACTGTTACGATGTCTGTCTGTTTTCAACATAGAACTTTGCACCTATGTACAGCAGTTCAAGTCGCCACACTTCCTCCTTGTAACACACAAAGCAAGAGAAGAAAGTAGAAGAAATGCATAATAGAGACAGTAGACAGGGTTATGAGATAAAAGGAATAGTAATATCTAACAGCAATATAGTTTCATTGGAAATCGCGAGTCACAAGGAGTGGATACATCTGTATCAGCTATTGAGAACGATTTGGAGCCATATCGCCAATTGTCTCCAGTCATTGGTGTTTACCGTCCCAAGGAACCCAACCAATCAGGAGGTCTACACCTCACTTTCTACGTAACTAGCTCAAACTAACTGCTGTGGATTTCATCGACTGGTGCTGTGTTTTGGTTTGGCCAGCATTAGCTCTTTTCCAACCTGACCCTATGTGAGCTGACACTGCCTTTCGGTCGAAGAAGGCCATAGCTAGGCATGTGTGTGTCCTAACCATTCCAATCAATGTAACTTCTCAAACTCGTCTATTGCTTCACCTTCTTACCTGGCGCTCTACAGAAGCTTAACCTCAATATTGCTCACTTTATTATACCACTTAACACGGGAGACAGAACTCAGGCACCTATGATTAAAGACAGCTAGCCAGCACTTTCATGTCTTCCACTCTCAGTGACCATGTCTCACAATCATAAAGGAGGACTGATAAGCTATAAACACGCCCTTTGGTCGATAGCCAGCCGGATATCACGTGTAATCCAGAGATGGTGTAAACTGCATATGGGAAACTAGTCTTCTGTATCCATTCTGAGATTTCCTTAGTGACCAACTCGCTGGCGCTGGCTGATGCAACTTCCCAAATAAACACGCTACACCAACCACTTCACTGCCTATTTCCAAGCTAGGAGTCAGTGTACTCCAGTCCTTACATTTGACGGGAGTGAATCGCATGCCAAACATTCTCAGATTGCTCCTCAAGGTGTTCAGAAGATTCTGCATTTTGTCAGCGTCTTCACCTAGAAGGACTATATCATCTACATATTCCAAGTCAACGAGATTATTACCTGGTGGTAACAAGTCAATGCCTGAGTCTCTGAAATGAGTTAGGGTTAAGTCGATTAGTACATCTATGATGAAATTGAATAGAAATGGGGATAATGGGCATCCCTGACGGACACCACTAGTTGCCACCACTTCAGATGACAACTCGCCATAAGCTGTCACCTGGCTGCATGAGTTCGAGTAGAATGCTTTGATCAGTGCAATGTATTTTCTCGGCATTCCCTTTACAGCCAAGCATCGGCATAGTACCTCTCGATAGATAGAATCGAATGCCGCTTTTAGGTCAAGAAAATAACGATTGTTGGACGTCGGTAAGTATGCACATGTTCCAGAATCTATCGAAGGGTGAAGATATGATCGATACATCCTCCTCCTGGTCTAAAGCCTGCTTGGTTCTCTCGTGTTTTTCCTCCCATGGACTGCCTAGTCTACGCATTATTATTGAACCTCAAACTTTAGATACCGTACTGGTCAACTTATCCGTCTTTGATTATCACGGGAAGACTTTTATCCCTTCTTACATATCGGGATAATCAATGACTTACACCAGCCTAACGGGACGTCCTCTGATTCCCAGACGCTGCCTAGTACCTTAGTTAACTTAGAGAGTAAACTGTCTCCACCGTCTTTAAATACCTCTGGAGTCATTCCAACGGGTCTCGCAGCTGTGCCTCGTTTCAAACTAGTGACAGCTTTAGTAACCTCAGCTAGGGTGGACGGAGGACCCGTGTCTCTATCCCATTCAGGGAGGTGTTGGATGTTCGGCAGGTTAAGTGTGACTCTAGGCCAATTAAATTGCTCTTCAAAGTGTTCTTTCCAGCGTTCCAGTTGTCTATCATCCTGGGAGCTAATTATGGTGCCATTTTTCTCCGAGATTGTTCCACTTATCATTTGCCCTGAACCACCTGTCTCCCTGATAAGCATGAATAAGTTGTCTGGTATTACTAGTCGCCAAAGCCTATTCTATCTCTTTTGCTTTTACGAAGATAAACGAAAAACAAAAAATATATATTTTTATATCTCTCTGTACTAGCATAACATTTAAATGTGTTTTGATAAGCAATTTTGAAGTATGCGCTGAAGATGTCACCCAGTAGGGTGATGAAAGCTTCGCAAATTTACCATCCAGCTCAGAGAACAAAACCACATCAAGATAAGCAATTTTATCAAGAAAAGACTTGCAAATATCATTGTCGTATCGGTATTGCTTCACTTTAACTGCATATTATGCCTAATTTCTTGTACAATTAAAATAACCTTCACAATGACTGACTCTTTTTTTTAGTTGTCGGTTATGTTTGAAATGATTGTGCAATATCACAACAGGTATCGCGTTGAGAACACAAACTAAACATTAATTTTTTTCTTCATTTTTGCAACTTTAGGATACAAGAGATTTCCAGTTCGACACTGCTTCTTGTCAACGTGCATGCCTTTTCTCTTTTACATCTAAACTAACTTAGACGTGTTCAATTTTGTTGGTTATGGGAGATCAGTTGATTTCAATTTGAAACTATTTAAAAAAAATCAAAACCCGATGTTAAGTGCTAAACTACGACGTAAGTTGATAATTATTTTCTGTACAACAACAAAATAACCTTCTGATTGGTAGTTCTACGTGGCTTGGCTCCTGTTAGCTTTGATGATTCAATTCTATACTGTTCCAGTCTACCGAATAAATGTGAAGTATCAAAAAGTGCTCAGCCAAGTTTTGTTAGCTTGGGAAAATCTTTACCTCAACATTTTCAACAAGTAAATCGATTTGTTTTTTGGTTTTTTAAAAAATATTTACAATAGTCGTCTCAGTTACACGAAGTGTATCTGCCTAGATTTCCGTCGAGTGTTGGAAAATCAGCTGTAAATCATTTTGTTGCATCAAATAGCCCTACAGTTGTGAGCAGCAATAATAATAGCAAGTGTGTAGAGAAGATAAATCAAAGTTGTCAAACTGAATCACTCGAACCTGAGGTGTGTATTGAAAATCTTTCAACGACTATATCACAAATTTTTCACAAGTTGAATCGTGTAAGTATACTTTTAGTCTAATTGAATATATATATATATATATATATATATATATATCAAGTTTTCTTTGTACTATAGCTTTATATGTAAAACGGTGTGGAAGTCAGAGCCTCGCATAAAGATTAACAAGTCAATCATTATGTCCATATCTATCACGTAGATGGCTTGCAGTTTGATTGCATGGAGGATTTCATCATGAGCTGACATCACTTAGAGAACCACTGGAAAACCTGCTAGGTAGTACTGGACAGCTGTTTCGTCGTCCTAGTTTGGGACTCTTCGGCAGTAAGCACCCACCTCACCACTACGGGATTTCGAACCAGGACCTTCTGGTTACAAGGGTAGCGAGCTCGTAGATCATTGGGCCATTGGGACCTGCCTATCCTGTCTGTCTGTTTTCGACATAGAACTTTGCACATATGTGCGGCAGTTCAAGTCGCCACACTCCCTCCTTGTAGCACACAAAGCAAGAGAAGGAAGTAGAAGAAATGCATATTAGAGACAGTAAACAGAAGCGTAAGACAAAGGAACAGTAATAACGAAGAACAAAACTATAGTAGACCAAATATACCAACTAATAAAAAGTAAATCAGGTGACCAGAAAGTTTAAAATCCAAGTCAACAGAAAATGATCAATAGAGATGTAAAGATGGTTACCGGGAGACGCAATTCTATCACTCATGAAAAAAATTTAAATCATTTCAATTTATGCTAAAACTTTGGCTGAAGGGAGATGTTGTCCAGAAGGACGACGAAAGCTTCACAACTAAACCAACCAGCTCAGAGAACAATATTAATCGCAAATCATCCACCTGAGCTACAATTCTACTCTATTATTTCAGAAACTATATTGTTCTTCGTTATTACTATTCTTTTTGCCTCACATCCCTGTCTCATTTCTCTGTTTTTCATTTCTTCAATTTTCTTCTCTTGCTTTGTGTGCTACAAGAAGGGAGTATGGCGACTTGAACTGTTGCACTGAGATGCAAAGTTCTATGCCGAAAACAGACATATTCGAAGTTTTGCTAATTAGATTTTGTATATTTGTATGCTACGGTAATCTATTTTCTGTTGATCGCTTCACTTATTTGGGAAGTACCATCAACCCCCAACGGGCTGATCGCTGACGAAATCTCATTACGGATACAGAAGGCTAGTTCCGCAAATGCTAGTTTACGCCGTCTCTGGCGCAGACGTGATATCCGACTATCGACCAAAGGGCGGGTGTACTGCTCATCGGTCCGCTCCATCCTCTTTTATGGTTGTGAGAGAAACGTGGCCATTGAGAGTGGAAGACAAAAAGGCCAGCTAGCTAGCTGTCTTTCATCATAGGTGTCTGCCGTGTGAAGTGGTATAATAAAGTGAGCGATATTGAGGTTAAGCATCTACCGAGTGCTAGGTAAGGAGGGAGGGGAAATCAATCGACGAGTCTGTGAAGCTACATCGACTGAGATGGTTAAGACATGTATTACGTATGCCTAGTCATCGCCTTACTCGACCGACAGGCAATGTTAGCCGACATAGGGTCAGGCTGGAAAAGAGCTAGCGGTGGGAAAACCAAAACATGGCCTCATCATTCAATGAAATCCATAACAGTTAGTTTAAGCCAGCCACGTAGGAAGGTGTAGACTGGCTTCCTCGTTTGGGTCCTCGGGACGGTAAAATCCAATGAAGGCTGGAGACAATCGGTGATATGGCTCAAACTCATCGTTCTCAATGGCTGACTGGCGCAGATGTATCCACTCCTTGTGACTTATAATATCCAATGGAGCTGTATTGTTCTTCGATATTACTATTCCTTTTGTCTCATATCCCTGTCTATTATCTCTATCATGCATTCCTTTTCACTTTCATCTCTTTCTTTGTGTGCTACGAGGGGGGGGGAGTGTGGTGACTTGAGCTGCTGCAAATCGTTGGAAAGTTTTATGTCGAAAACAGACATATTCGCAGTTTTCACTAATTAGATTTTGTACATTTTTAACGTCTATTTGTTTGTTTTATTGAGCTGTTTCTTTCTTTTTTTTCTTTTAAAAATTCTTTTACAGCATGAACTTAAGAATATGTCGAATTGTGATCGAAGCCAATTTCCTAAATTATGGTTAGATTTAAGTGAACTGAACTATTCACCAGCTCAGTATAATCTAGGCGTTTGGTATGAAATACAAGCGTCAAAGTGTTTACCACTTCATGAGAATTTAAAGCGGCATTATACCAGTCAAGCAAGTTATTGGTATAAATGTGCAGTGCGGAAAGACTGTCATCCATTGGCTGCATATAATTTAGCCTGTTTAATGCTAAATTCACGTCATCATCAATCGGATCAATCGGCATTTATTACTATTACTACTACTACTACTACTATTGATTGTACAGATAAACAGGATGAGAAAGACTATACAGTTATCGATCTAATGAAACTTGCAGCTGATGGTAATGTGAAACAGGTGAGTAGTAATATTTTGTTGTTTCATAACAAAAGTGTACTGCAGATTTTGAATTAACACTGTGTTTAAAATAGTAGGAGAGAAGATTTGTAGCTCAGGTGGATGATTTGCAATTAATAGTGTTTTCTGAGGAGCTGGTTGGTTTATGTTGTGCAGGAGCTCTGGTCGTCCTTCTGGAATTAGATAACAAAATCCCATTTTTAGATGTCTTAATCAGGTGAAGCAACACAGGAAATTTAGAAACACAAGTATTATATAGAAAATCAACGCCGACACACAGATCATATACTCAAGTATCAGTGCATGCGTAGACTGAGTGGTGCTCGGGAGGCACAAACACGAGAGAGCCAGGCAGGCTTTAGACCAGGAAGAGGGTGTATTGATCATATCTTCACCCTCCGACAGATTCTAGAACATAGGAATTCCTATCGGCGTCCAACAGTCATTATATTTCTTGACCTAAAGGCAGCATTCGACTCTGTCGATCGAGAAGTTCTCTGGAGATGCTTGGCTGTAAAGGGAATTCCGAGAAAATATATTGCACTGATTAAGGCACTCTATTCGTACTCATACAGCCAGGTGAGGGCTTACGGTGAGTTGTCATCTGAACTGGTGACGACCAGTGGTGTCCGTCAAGGATGCCCATTATCCCCATTTCTATTCAACTTCATCATAGATGTGTTAATGGACTTAACCCTAAGTGACTACAGCGACTCAGGGATTGATTTGCTACCGGGGAATAATCTCGTTGACTTGGAATATGCAGACGATATAGTCCTTCTAGGCGAAGACGCTGACGAAATGCAGAGTCTTCTAAACACCTTGAGCCGCAATCTACGAATGTTTGGCATGCGATTCGCTCCCGCCAAATGCAAGATGATGTTACAGGACTGGACTACATCGACGCCTAGTTTAAAAATAGGAAGTGAAGTGGTAGAGCACGTTGACCGCTTCACTTATTTGGGAAGTACCATCAGCCAGTGCCGACGGGTTGATCTCTGACGAAATCTCAGCACGAATACAGGGGGCTCGTCTCGCATTTGCCAGTTTACGCCGACTCTGGCGTAGACGAGATGTTCGACTATCGACCAAAGGGCGGGTGTATTGCTCATCAGTCCGCTCCGTCCTCCTTTATGGTTGCGAGACCTGGCCACTGAGAGTGGAAGACATGAAAAGACTAGCTCTATCTACATCCCGTGTGAAGTGGTATAAGAAGGTGAGCAATATTGAGGTTAGGCATCGGTCGAATGCTTAGGTGGGTAAGGATGGGAAATCAATAGACGAGGTTGTGAAGCTACGTTGACTGAGATGGCTAGGACATCGCCTTCTTCGACTGACAGGCAATGTCAGCTGATATAGAGTTAGGTTGGAAAAGAGTGGGCTAATGCGCTGGTCAAAGCAAAACACGGCTTCATCAGTCAATGAAATCCACAACAGTTAGTTTAAGCCAGCCAGTCACGTAGGAAGGGAGGTGTAGACTTCCTGACGGTAAAAGTCGATGAAGGGTGAAGACAATTGGTGCTGTGGCTCAAAAGCCTCGTTCTCAATGAATGGTGCAAATAGATTCACTCTTTGCGATTTGGCATACCCAATAAAACTTTATTGTTCTTCGATGTTACTATTCTTTTTGTTGTATATCTCTGTTTATTGTCTCTATTTTGTATTTCCTTTTACTTTCTTCTGTTGCTTTGTGTGTTACATGGAGTGTGACGACTCGAACTGCTGCACATCGGTGCAACGTTCTATGTTGATACCAGTCAGTCAGAAATGTGGGTGAGGGGAAGAATATTAACATGGAAAAACAATAGGGTTTAAAAGGTATTATAGATCACAGAGATTGGGTGCATCTCCGCCATTGAGAACCATTTTGTGCCATATCTCCAACAGTTTCCAGCATCCTAAGGACCCCAATCAAGCAATCTACACCTCCTTATGTGGCTCGCTTAAACGAACTGTCGAAGACTTCATGGATCATGATATAAAACCATTTAGAATTGGTGCCGTACAAAACAATTGCGTTCCGTTGGTTTAATTGGTTGAAGGCAATCGTCAAGAAGCCTTGTCTGACCTAGATTTCGTGCCTGTTGCCACTCACCAGTATATGCGGTCCTGAAGGAACTCACATCCCCTATATGAGATTGGAACCCGTGTCTCCCAGTGCTGTAGTCGAAGATGACGTTACCACTGAGTTATTCAGGCCCACGATTAACCTCCCATAGGATTGTACCAGATACTTTGATTCGACACTAACTAGTGTCATGCACGTCTAGTCCCTGATGTCTGCGGCAGATTGAATTTTATCAGTCAGTGGTAACGTCTCTAACTGTTGCACTGGGTGACACGGGTTCCAATCTCAGAAGGGATGTGAGTTCTTTCAAGATTGCATATACGCCTTGCAGACTGACTGGTAAGCTAAGTCAAGTAAGACTTCCTAATGATTGCCTCCAGTTATCTAATACCATCAAATCAACGTGCACTGTGACGGCGAGCTACCTAGAATGGTGGCCACATTGCAAATCTCACTGATAGAATTCAGTCTGCACCAAAGAGAGGACTAGACACATCACACTAGTTACTAGTGTCAAATCAAAATATCCACTACAGTCATACAGGAGGTCAATCACAAGCCCGAATAGTTCAGTGGTAACGTCTCTGACTGCAGGCGGCACTGGGTGATACGGGTTCGAATATCCTCAGAAGGGACATACATGAGTTCCTTCAAGGTTGTAGATATGCCTTGATGATTGGTGAGTGCCAACTAGCACGAAACCTACGTCAAGCGGGGCTTCCTGTGGCCGATTGCCTCCAACCATCTAATATCAACAATTCATAGTGCAGTGCATCGTGACGGGGATGGCGAGCCACCTAATGACATACAGGGCCACATTGCAAACTTGACTGATTGGTAGAATTCAGTCTGCGGCAGACATCAGGGACTAAACGTGCATGACACACACACTAGTTTACTGCCTCGTGTCCAATCAAAATTTTGTTTACCTTGTATAATCGTATGAGATAGTCATATGAGGAGGAGATGAAAGCATGTGGGCAGACTTTTGGAGCCAGGTGAAAACTCTAGCAGAGAACTGAACGCATTGGAGACGTGAGCGGCTGAAGCCCTATATTCCTCTAGGAATTAAAGGATATAATAATAATAATGTATAATCATATTATGAAATTCCCACTCTTCCTTTTCATTCTCTTGTTCTTTTCTCTTATCTTTTAGGCGAAGAAGTACTTGTCTAAACACACACTGTAATGTAGAGAAATGCCTGCAATCCACTTTTTGGTAGAGTTTTACAACCCTTATTACATGTACACTTTCAAGTGCAATTCTTTATCCTCACCTGTGTTTTAATTAGTATTTAGTTATTATTTAGCTGACTTGATGATAATTTTTTGGCTCTGTTGACCATTTTCAATCTATCAACAAGCATTTATACATATAGTACCTTCAACAAACGGCGCGGAGCATTTCATGACAAACTACAAGAGAAAAAATAAACACATCCCGGTTTTTTTAAAAACTTAGTTTTGATATGTATATTATTATTATCATCATCATTGTTATTGATATTACTTTTGAACTTAAATAAATCTTTATCCTATAAAGTTTTATATTTGTGTTATAAATTACATTCTAGGCAAACTACTACATTCATTTATCTAATCTAAAAGGTGTGGATTTTATAATTCAATGTGATTGAACTTTCCCGTTGATTGATTCGACTGTTGACAATTTCGTCGCCTTTATGTGGATGCTTTTCGATTATGTCTCTGATGATTAACCTGATTAAGTGGTTTGATGAATGATGACTAGCAGTGGAATCCATTAGAATGAGCATTTCGTCCTACTTGGGACTCGTCATCTGGCTAGATGGGGATGTACCTGCATTCCACATTGCGTGAGTGATGGTGTCCGCACTGAGACTCTCGAACCCAGTACTCACTATTTCTAACACCAGAACGTTGTCCATCTCTGGGGCAACCAAGAATGCAGGTACATCCAGTTGGCAAGTCCCAAATAGGACAAAATGCGCATCCTGGATTCACCATCATGCATCAAATTATTTCAGGTGTGGATTAAACTGTCAGCTTATCTAGTTCAATAGGAGTTGTTGACAGTCTTGTGATTTTTATCATGCGATATGATGGTTGTAGCCGTCGATCTCGGATGAATTTGTGGCGAATTCTCACATCTAAGATATCTCAAATTTCAATAAAACTGTAGGCTGATCAATTAGTGATTTGACTCATAATAAAGTTTTATTCTGAAATAGTTTTTCTGTGCTTTTCAGCTTTATCATTATACATTTATCACTGAAATATATGCTACGCTTTTTGCCTTTGAATACTCTTGTCATGAGTATTAAGTTCAATTTGGTATTTTTCTGTCATGTAGCTAACACTGAATGATTTTAATATGAGTAGGCTTTACCGTCGGTGGCGGAGCGGTAGAATGCTCGCGGCAATAATCATGCCGTATGTGGTCCAGGGTTCGACCCACAGCAGGTACACTCTTCTAAACCTCGCTTACTTCACAGTAAAGGTAAGATTAAGCATGAAACTAACAACCTCTTGACCTGTAAAATTAAGAACAAATCACGTCTACTGAAACTTCTAGGTACCAGTGACATAAGAATAAAACTTGTGCACTGTGGTGGTAGAGTGTAATTCCATTATGGGTAAATTTTTTGTTTTGATAAAGTCTCACAGTGGTGTGTTATACAGTAATGTTTAATATCAGTAAACATTACTGTATAACACCACTGTGAGACTTTATCAAAACAAAAAATTTACCCATAATGGAATTCTAGGCACCAGCTTGAAGCCCAGCGCTCCACCAGTCGACCTATTTTCAGGAAGCTTTGACTTTCCTAGTCATCCCTGATATATGCTTTATTAATAGGTAACCCATTGGTCTCAACGCTTAATCTTCAACTTGGTTGACTAAGAAGTGTCTTCAGCCTCTGTAGCTTTTAGTTTTCATTTTTTCAAGTCTTAGTTTTGAAGTTTCAGGATCCATTGGTGTTGCTTTTTCTGACGGTGTTGAGGTTCCAAGCCTCATAGCCCAACATTTCCTCTTTATAATAGGCTTATTTAACGGCTTAGAAGTTGATCGGACTATGTGCGGTGTGGTTGTCGAGTATTCTTCGACTAAATCCCACCGGCTCACCATGTCTCAGCCTCCATACGTTCTTAGTACATTTTGAAAATGTGTTCTATGTGTCGGTCGACCCCGTGAATAGATGAAGTTGATTTATTATTAATGTGTTTGACAATGACATAAAAGGCCCTGAATCGTTCAAGTTAACTGGATGCGTTGTTAGTGAAGGTGTGTAATCGATAAGTTTCATTCAAAGTTGGGTTTTAAAACTATGTGCAAAGTTCTATGTCGGAAACAGACGAGAGGAGACATAGTCCAGAGACTTGGCGTGTGTGTCGCTTGAAGCATTTCCAACAGGTCAGTGTGTAGCTTGTATCAACCAACAGCTGTCTTCACACATTAGCTCCATACTGTGAAGATCAGATGTCCAACCAAAAGGATTCGCAACGGCGGAACTTTACTAGCGTACAAGGAACAAGAACTTATCCTCCGGTGAATATTCTCCTAAAAATGGAGGTGGATAAGCCATGCATGAGCTGAAGAGAGACCGTTGAATGACGACATCACACACAGCAGGCCATTACTCGAGTAGAACACCTGAATGGGACACAATGACTACTATGGCTTGTTAACTGATGGATAGTGACTAGCAGCGGAATCCAGGATGCACATTTCGTCCTGTTTGGGACTCGTCAGCTAACTGGATGTACCTGCATTCCCCAGTGAGTCAGTGATGATGTTCCCACCACCGAGGCTCGAACCCAGTGCCCATCGTTTCAAACGCCACAGCGTTATCCACTAGACCACTTGGGCCATGAGAGCCACTGCCTCTTGTGCAACGGGTCATTTTAATTTGAAACTATGGGCACTGGATTCGAGCCTCGGTGGTGGGAACATCATCACTGACTCACTGGGGAATGCAGGTACATCCAGTTAGCTGACGAGTCCCAAATAGGACGAAATGCGCTTTATCCTGGCTGGATTCCACCACTAATCACCCACTATCCACAAACTAAATTCTGATTATTATAAGTGCCCAGACATCGTCGAAGCATCTGCACAAGAAGCCAACAGACATATCAACCTGAGTCCGGCGAGAGCACTTCGGTCTCCAATAGACCGATCAATGGGAAAATCTAAAATAAAGGGAACCCCCCCCCCACTTTATTCTTTTTTTTCTTTCAAACAATCATCTTTTTTTTATTATTTTCCCAGAAAGAGAAAGACAGAAAAAGAAAAAAAACAAGAAACCGAAAGGCGTACAAACAAAATTTTTGTTAAAGAATGTGTGTGTGTGTGTGAATATTAGCCATATTGTGAAGACGAAAAGAGGTAGAGAATACAGTAGAGTAGGGTACATTAGGGGATAAATCAATAATAAAATATGGAATAATAGATGGTGTAGGTGTAATTATAGTTATTGGTGTTGAATAGGATCACAACTTGCTCCTGATCTATCCTTGCATGTATGTATGTGCGTATGGGCGTGTTTTGTGTACGTGGGTGTGTGTGTGTATAAATATATATAGAAAAATGACGACTAATTGGAGCTATTCCTCTACACATAGAGGATCAACAAAGAAGTAGCACCACATGGTGTGTGTGTGTGTGCGTGAATGAATTGTAGAAATAATTCTCCACCTGAAAAGAGAATACTTGAGCAGACAGATGGATTAATTATCACAGTGTTAAAAAAGGATGTAAGAAAAGAATGATGGACTCATCACTCACGCATACACACACATACATACATACTGATGGTGTATGGTTCTCACTCAAATCAGTCTAGGGATTACATGAAAGATCATTTTGTGTCGGGTAAATTGGAGGGTGGAGAGAGTTTGAAAAATATGAAAGGGGTTTTGTTGTTGTTGTTGTATTTTTGTGTGTGGTCATCAATAATAAGTAGTCTGTGAGTATCGATCAGATGGGGATAAATTTTACAAGAGAGAGAGAGAAATAAAGGGATCGAATCAAATAATGAATGACAAATAATAGTTTATTATTATTAATTTGACTAGTTAATATAGAGACTGGAGCAGAGATGCCGTGAGTGTTGATGATGATGACGATGATCAGGGGTATGCGTGCATGTATTGATTTGATTTCAGGTGACAGGAGCATCTTTTGTATTTGATGTACAAGAATCAAGACCAGAATTCATTGGAGGAAGATTGAAATTCACACTGGCTTGTTGGATATCCCCACCACCAACCACAACACCACTACCGCCAGTGTTGCCTACACTAGACGGCGGGACTTCAAGCAATTCTATACCTTGACGTACTTGTGTCAGTGTTTGTTGCATCTGTATCAAAGAAAAGTTATAAAAAAACAGTTATTTTAATTTTGTTTCCATACTCCTCCTGCTCACACTTGTAGTCCGTTTAGAATAACCATTTTTACAGTTATATTCTAATCCTGTGTAGTTTTTTGTTTCTATACCTCTTGTAATCTATATTCACACCTCCTAACTAACATTTCAAGATGGAAAATTTTGATTTCAATTAATTTCCATGCTCATTTTGTTCACACCTGTAATTCGTTCTATCCCTGCGTCTCTAAGCCTCTTGTAATTCATATCAAGTTGAAAATAATTATCACCTTTTATTCGCCTTTGAAATTAATTCTTCAGTTATCAAATATTAATTTTTTGCATACACGTTGTAACTATTTTCTAATCCTATGAAATCTTGTCTCTAAGCCCCTTGTAATCTATATTCGTACCTTCAAACTTTCATATCAAGTTGAAAATTATGATCACCCTCTCGTAACTATGTGGAATTAAACAAATCAGAATTGTATCCATGTAAAATAATCTATATAAATGCGATTGTACAGCTACTTTTGAGAATGAAATCGCCAAAAAGATCAATATCTTTGCTGAACTTCGTGTTCTCTTCTTTCTAATGTCTATATGGGTATTTTCCACGAAATGAATGAAAACACAAACTAAGAAACATGAGGATAAAGTGATGATGAATTTATTCTATGTGAATAAATATTATAAAAATAATATGAGCATAATTTATTTGATCATTCATTCCACAATGCTCAAACTTTTTTACTGGCATTCAATAAAAAAAAGATATCTACATACGCTAACATCGATTAGAGAACCATTGTAAAACCATCAGGGAGTAGTACTGGGTAGCTGTTTCATCATCTTGAGATTTGGAACTTTTCAGCAGTACGCACCCATTGCCAGGCTTCGAACCTATGACCTTTCGGTTACAAAATGAGCTCATGGATCGGGTCTCAGTGAGTAGCCTAGTGGTCTACTTTTATTGCTGTCGAACTACAACACGTCTTATTATTCTCTACACGACCAGTAGTGCTACCTTGACTGAAAGATGAAGTACCTAGACTAGACTAGCCACTTCAAATTGTATCTACCATTCAACTGCGCCTGTGGTGGAGCGAGTTATATTAACCGTTGCTCTAAGAACTTGATTTTTCGTGCTCTCGCGGGAACATTTCCCCCTCTATGGCTAAGTAAAAGTGTAGTTAAAACCATTAACAGTTCGATATTGGACCATCTGGTGCAAAACGACCGGCCACAAAGCCAGCCAACCAGAATTGAAGAATCCTTCTCTACCATCATCTACCGGGTGCGAAATAAACTGCCAAAATTATCGAATCACCACATACTCCAAACAGCAGAGGCTAACACGATTCACCTGAAACAACTAATTCTCTGTGTCCAGAAGAAACAAGTCAAGCCACCACAATTACCCTGGCTTTCAGTAGAGACCATAAATCCATGAATTTGTAATATCATCTTTCCTAATTTGTCTGTCTGACATTCAGTTTATTGGTATGTTGATGCTATTGAACTGTAATCCGCTGATATTATTATTATTATTGATTCGATGTTATTTAAACAACATTAATGGTGTGTTCATAACACTAATTCATTCATTCACCATATAACTGTAGAGCCTGATGATGAAGGAGTTCTCGAAAAGAGTACTCTTTGTTCAGTATCCATTCTTTTGAAAAATAAAAGATAGCTTTTAAAAAAAAACCCATTTGGGTGGATGTTGTCTCACTGCCACGTGAAAAGTACGATTACTGCTCATGTATGGGGATGTGGCTACATACACACACTATGGGATATGACGTAATTACCTGTACACTTTTGAAGCTTGTAGTAGAGAATGAATGTGTCGCTATTGGTAAACATCATTGGTAAACACCATCCACCAAATGTATACTAACTAAATGCCCGGACATCGTCGAAGCATCTGCACAAGAAGCCGACATGTCAACCTGAGACCGAGCACTTCGGTCCAATCAATCGACGGGAAGATCAAGAATTCAATAATTAATATGATCCGTTGCACAAGAGGTGGCTCTCGTGGCCCAAGTGGTCTAGTGGATAACGCTTTGGCGTTTGAAACTATGGGTACTGGGTTCGAGCCTCGGTGGGAACATCATCACTGACTCACTGGGGAATGCAGGTACATCCAGTTTCTGACGAGTCCCAAAAAGGACGAAATGCGCATCCTGGATTCTACTGCTAGCCACCATCCACCAATTGTATACTAACTAAATGCCCGGACATTGTCGAAGCATCTGCACAAGAAGCCGACATATCAACCTGAGACCGAGCACTTCGGTCCATTCAATCGACGGGAAAATCAAGAATTCAATACAAGATATATATGGTTTGTTTATTCTAACTGGTCTCTACCATTTGGCAAGAAACAACAATGCTGACTGTGGAGTCTAATCGTATACTGGTTCATTTATCAGTGAAGAGGTAAACAGCAATCCTTATATATTCTGATATTCCCACGTTGGCGGTTATCGTACATAGTATTATTCTGAGGCACTGACTGAATTAGTCTCTTTTGGAATCAACACTACATTTCAAGATCTATTCCAATCTGGACAATTGGCAGAATGTTCTAGGCTTTTTCATCAATCATATATATCAGGCTGTATAGTAGGGATCTACAGACGATGGAGTTCAGTATCCCGATTGTATGGTAATTTAATGAAGATCTCTCTCTCTCTCTCTCTCTTTATATATATATTTATATATATATATATATATATATATAACTTAGGGACTGTAGATTTTGAAATGAACTAATCTCTGTACCGATTTAAAAATTCTGTGGCCACATTGCAAACGAACAGAATTCAGTCCAAATAGCTCAGTGGCAAGATCTCCAACTGCAGCACTGAGTCACACGAGTTCGAATATCAGAAAGGCCATCAATGTTCCTTCAAGATCGCAGATACACCTGTCTTTCTGACTGACCGGGAGTGCCAACAAACACGAAACCTATGTCAGACAAGGCTTCCAGAGACAATTGTTCTCAATCAATCATTGAGTAACAACAGTTCAGAGTGCACCTACCTTGATGGCGAGCTTTGATATGAGAATAAAACGTGTGCACTGTGGTACAGTATAATTCCATTATGGATAAATTTTGTTTTGATAAAGTCTCACAGTGGTCTTATACAGGAATGTTTACTGATGACGTTTCGAGAACAATTTATTGCTCATATCAAGGTAATCACACAACTTCCTAACTTCATTTATATAGTTCCATTGTTTTTCACTTGATGTGATTAGTAGTAGTATTTTCCATATTTCGGGTATAAGTGATGAATCATTTCTATTGTATGTGTTGGGTGTAGACTCGATGAACCAGGTAGGATTCAGTAATCAACCTCTCTCTCCACCTACCTAGATCACTTTTCAGAATTTTAACCCTCTCGCATCCCCATATTATGTGGTTGTGTTTTAATGCATGCGTGCAGTGCAATTGCTGAGCTTTTTTCTCTAAATTACTTATCTTTTCGGGGTCGACCATTCTTACCTTAGCTAAATTCTTGATGGCGAGCCAGCAGTCGACATGGTGGCCACATTGCAAACTTGACTGGCAATAGAATTCAGTCTGCACCGAAGATAGAACTAGACACATCACACTAGTTACTGGTGTCCAGTGAAAGTATTCACTGCGGTCCTACAGGAGGTCAATCGCGAGCCTGAATATCTCACTGCCAAGGCCTCTGACTGCAGGCAGCACTTGGTGGTGAGGCGGGTTCGAATCTGTCTGTCTGTCTGTCTGGATTCAACATAGAACTTAGCACTGAAAAGCAGCAGTTCGAGTTGCCACGTTCCAAATAGCACACAAAGGTAAACAAGAAGATGAGTGAAGAGGGAGTGTCAATAGAGTTTGACAGGTATAAGAGTGAAACAGAATGGGTAATGGTAGAAAGGAATATGAAAGATTACAGAGACTGAATACATCTGCCCTGGCCACTGACAACGATTTTCAGACATGTCACCTATTGTCTCCAGTCATTGATTCTTAGAGTCCCGGGGGCCCCAACCCGGAAGTCTGCATCTCTCTACCTGACTCAGTTTAATTGTCAAGGATTTCATAGATTGATGCCATCTTTTGTTTGACCATCTGATATGTATCCACATATATTTATGTGTGTGTATGGTGATCTCTCTTTCTGTTTGCTCTCTTAGTCTGTGACCATTTCACTTTGATGAACCTGTCTCCTTTAACAATGTATATTCCCCTTATATTCTATATAATATGAGTGTTTGTTGACAGTCCGTTGCTTGGTGACATATATCCATATATGGTGGTTGTTGACATGTCTGCTATATTTCGCTATGTATATATGGATCGATACTTCATTATAATTAGCCATTCATGTTCAGACTGTCTAATGATTGTTCACACCCTTGTCATATATATATTTCGTTCTCACAATTTGTGTGACTTACACTTACTTACCTACTTACTGTGGTGTGATACCACTTTTGCATTCTCCTTGTGTGTTGGAAAATAGGAGTATCATCGCAAACCTAGTGGTTTTCTGATTTCCGCCTTCTTGCGTCAGGACTATTAAATTCTCGACCAGTCCATAACAATAATTTAGCGACGAGTACATAACACCATCACTTACTCTTTTCCAACCTGCACCTATATCAGCTAGTAATGCCCGTCGGGGAAGGCGATGGTTAGGCATGCGCAGCACGTGACCTAGCCATCTCAATCTATGTAACTTTATAGCCTCGTCGATTAATTTTCCCTCTTTGCCCAACACTCTAAGCCTAACGTCAACGTCACTTACCTTATTATGGGGTTCGAATCTCCTCAGAAGGGACATAAGTTCCTTCAAGGCGGTTGTAGATATGTCTTGATGACTGGTGAGTGCCAACTAGCACGAAATCTAGGTCTGACAAGGCTTCCTGTGGCTGATTACCTTCAGCCATCTAATTAATACACACTGAAGCATACAAACAGAACCAACATGGTATACACATGGATTATGTGATATGAATAGGCATCATTTACCTACCTGTGTAAGTGTTTTCGATAATAACTGTATAAGATCTTTCATCACTTTTAATCTTGTTCCTTGACCATTTAACTGATCCTTGTATATTGACTCACGTTCATCTTTCCCTGTAAATGATGGTGACGATGATGAAGAGAATAGTGGATTCTCTTTAGAATATGAAGGACCAAATAAATCTGATATGTAATCTTGATCCCGAACAGTCGACGACGACGGTGATGATGACGATGCAGGCGAAGATGGGAATTGTTCAGCCAACTTCTCCAATACTACTAAACGATTATACACCATTGATAAGAATAAACAGAGTAGTAGGCTTCTGTAGAAGAGGAAATTACGCAAAAAAAGGAGAGGCAAAAAAGACAATCACTTTTCTGAAGAATTCAAAAACTAAATAACAAAAAAACAAACACATTTCTGAAACATTTCACCACTAGCAACCAATCAGCAACCGACCTTGAAAGGACCAATCAGATTAAAGAGGCACTTATGATAACGTATATTTGTAGAAAAAAGTATAAAACGGTTACAGGGGGTATCTTTCCCTAACATGTGAGAGAAACATTACCCAGTTAAGCATCCGGACTGTCAATAGAAAAGTTACACCACATTCTGTACATATATCCATCTAAATGACTATAAATGAAATCCTGTTGAGATCCATTTATAGCCCTTATCCTATTTTTCAACCTGCCCCAAAATCCTTCAATAGAATTTGTATGTGTCCTCGTAACAAGATCCACAAAATCACTTGAATGGTTGACTCTATGATGAATATATCCCAGAGATGACAGGGGATTGCAACCTTTCCATTCGTCCGTGTATATTATTGGTCCCCGTAATAATAGGTGTTAGAGTAGTAGCCATTCTATCTGTTATTCTTCCCACGAATCCTTTTCGGAGGGAGGTGTCGTATAAACGTATTATCCAAATATTGTTCGCTCGCTGACGACCACGGTTGTATTTCTTTTCCACCAACACAGTTTCATCCACGTGCACAACAACGTCTTCTGCACCCAACAAAGAAGTGATTTTCTCCATTTTCCAAGAAGCAATATCTCTGCAATGCTGGTACCATTGAACTATTGAGACGAGGTTATTCTCCGTCTTAGCAGCTGTGGTTTTCACTGGCTGTCTCAAGACCAAGTAGTTGCAGATATACAAAATTTGTGTCAAGGAGAGGTGTGACCTTGCAAAAAAAAGTTCCTACGAAATATTAAAATTATCAGCTTACCCTCTCTAATGTTAGCACGCTTCAAACATATAGCACAACGATGAACAAATCCATCAGTTGACCTGCTATAGCTTTTTAAAGTCATGACACCACCACACGAACAAGTTCGCTCCTTCCGGAGCAACCCTAAATCCAGGCAATACTGGAAAACTGTCCTCCTCGAACTGCAACTGTAACCTTGTTAGGGCACGCATTTGAAATGAATCAAGCGCTACACAACATTGGACTAACGTTCGTGAATCTCATTGGATAATTCGACGTCATTCGCTGATTGGTAGTTAGTGGTGCTCAAAGTTTAACTTGGCTATTTCACTAAATGTTGATTTACTGGAAGGATTTGACTGGTTTTAAGTTTGATCGCATGCTAATATCAGAGTTAGAGAACCACTGGAAAACCAGAGAGTTTTTTGTGACCCTTAGGCATCCACTGGGGTTGGAATCTAAGAGCCTCTATTTACGAGGAAAGCTTGTGTATATCATTTGATCCAGTGAAACCCGATCCAAATTAATTGTCCATGAATTCCAACTTCTGCCAATTCGCGACATACATATATATGTAGCGCAACTGTCGGCCAATGTCATCAGCGAATAACTGTTCTCTTATCTGATTTAGTAAACCTCACTGGTTAAGACTTCTCAATAGAACTCCAGGCGATTTCCTGTATGCATCCAAAGAGAGAAGGTTGGGGGACATGAGGCTAGCTACCCCATACTGTAAAAATAAACAACAGCTACCGAAACTTCAAGCTGGAGGCTTAAAGCCCTACGTTCCACCAATCGGAACTTAAAGGAATAAAAACAATATCCATTGTTAGTTTGCAAGGATTTGATTTACTAAAGGTTTGATCACGAGCTGGTATCAGTTTGAAAACAGTTGGAAGACCAGAGAACCCTAATGAATAGCTAATTCATTCTAGTTTGGGACACTCTGGCATCCCTCAAGGTCCGAACCCAGGACCTTCCATTTACAAGGCAAATTCGTATACCATTCAACCACTGGGATGCGGCTCAATGGTCTATGAATTCTACCTTTCTTGATTTTAGCACGACATCAATTTAAAACAACCCATATATATATATATATATATATATATATATATATATATATATATATATCGATAGATAAAAAATGGTTTAAAAAGGATGAAGTGAATGTTCACATCTATCCTCAGCTATTAAATTAATCAACGCTATGATGTAAAATATTTGAACATTCAATAATGCAAACCAAATTATTCTTTCAACTAATCGGCTTATAGTGTGGTGACAGCAGTCTGCAAGTCGAAATTGTAAACAACAATTTACAACAACACATTTAAGCGAACAATATTGTGTTTTCAATTAGATCTCATCAGGCTTAACTCTAATATATACAAGTTTACAAATAAAAATTCAAATATAAACCAATCATGGTGTTTTGTCTATAGGATAATACGATGGTGAATATAAATTGTGCAATTAGTCATAATAGCGGTAATGATAATAATAATAATGGTCTTATCGATAATAAGGATGAAAAAGTGAGGCAATCTGTGATAACATGAATAATGAAAAACAGCTTGATTAAACAAACCACGATGGGAGTTTGGCAAAGGACAGACAAAAACAATCCGTAGCTTAATTCTGTCACATTTAATTGATAGTGGTAAAGTAGTGGAGAAAACGAAAGCCTTCAAAGTAATTCATCGTATCCCACCGAATCTTTCTAATAGACTTCGTATTCGTCTCCTGCACGCACACAGCTGAGGCGATAGGCATTCGAGCTATTAAACCTAAACTATGCATTCAAAAAAGTTCGTCCACAGCCATTATCCCTCCATTCCTGGCCTATTAAGACATAACCAACTAAAGACTTCTACACCTTCCCTTGTTTATATTTTCAACCCCTTTCTTATCATCCCTTAATCTTATCACATCTTCATTTAAAACATGTTTCATTTCCTTCCCTTACAATCTAACATTACCTAATCGGTTCATTTGTTTTTACTAGCCTTTATGGACTACTATGTCTACCTAAACACAATTGTTTGTTTAATCATACTGTTTTTCATTATTCATGTTATCACAGATTGCCTCACTTTTTCATCCTTATTATCGATAAGACCATTATTATTATTATCATTACTACTATTATGACTAATTGCACAATTTATATTCACCATCGTATTATCCTATAGACAAAACACCATGATTGGTTTATATTTGAATTTTTATTTGTAAACTTGTATATATTAGAGTTAAGCCTGATGAGATCTAATTGAAAACACAATATTGTTCGCTTAAATGTGTTGTTCTAAATACAACAATTCACGTCAATGTTCACATCTCGAATCGGGTTGATGAGAAAAAACAAGACCAAAACCTAACCTTGAGGAATTCACTAAGCCTTAAAGTATGCAAATACGATTCGCAGATATGCGGCTTGACCTTCTAAGAAACGGTCACAAAGAGAGATAATAGAATAACCTTTAGCAAGAAAACCACCAATCAGAAGACGCTGCTTCTGTGCTAACGATAGCGAATAATAATGCACATGAAAATCTATAAATATCTTTTGATTTCCTCAATAAATGATCTCTAGCATGGCCCTTGTCTTCTGTCGTTAGAATAATACTTGTGGACCTGTATGGCTCTTTGGTTAAGGTACTCAACTTCCAATCAGTACGTACGTCATTAGGTTTTAACACTGCTCCATCCACGAAGATTTTGGTGGCCCCAGGTAATACCACTAGACACCACACACACACACAAAAGGCGTATTATTTATTGGGTTCCAAGTGGAAAATAGGGCTGGTTTCAACAACACATCTCCACTTTGTCCTATTTGGTGCTGTCCTCTTCAACAGACTGGCTCCACGATTGCCCATAATCTCTCATCTCCTCTATGTCACCCTAAGACGATCCACTTGTTGCTTTCCAGTGGGATTCCCACTCGGGCGATGTCATTCGACGGTCTCTTCATTTTCTCCTACACTTATCTTGTTAGTTAACTAACTTGGTAGTTTTCTAGCCAGTCACAAGCCCGGATAAAGAGGGAGGGGTTAGGCATGGCGCTAACGATCCTACACCATAAAAGCTATCAAACTGCTAGAGAAACTTCAACGTGCACACGGCGTGGCTCATTGCAGACTGCATAGAATTGCAAGTGATTTTAGGGTAATAGTAATACGTGTACCCTTGCAAAATTACATTTACGAGTTAAGAAATTAAAGTACTCCCTGGCAGGTTTTCCAATAGTTCTCTAACCACTAGCAGCTCATGATGAAATCGTGTAACCAATCAATCAAATCTCTACAAGTGGACACTTGAATTAGAAATTAAAGTTTACGAAATATAAAAGAAAATCTCTATATCATGATTCATAGATTGTATTAAAAAAGGTATTCAAGGTTAAGGTGGATGTTATAAAACAGCGCTGTCTGTCAATCAGCTAGTTTGACACCAAGTCAGTTTATCATTGATGGTGACTATGAAAAAGAATAAGTGAACCGGGGCTGGGGTTAGGAAGAGGGGGTTCGAACGTCGTCCATCGTTCCAAACGGCTCCATAGATTCCACTGCTAATCACCGTCAAAGAAAAGAATGCTATAATCATCCATATATGAATATATATATATATATATATATATATATATTGATATAACAATGATAACTTACATAATAACTAATAAAAGCCATGCCCGATCTGGTCGCATAAATAAATAGGTCATATCTCCAGATCCAAAATAGCTAACAGTATTATTACTATTACTGTTATTATTATTACTGATTGACCTTTTACCAGATGTTCCATTCAAACAATTATTGAATACAGTTTGTTTCCCTTGATCAGAATATTTCACTGAAGGCACTTTATTATGTGTGGTTAATAATAATTTGCCTTTACCTGTGACATTGCCATCATTTTTACCTCGACGATTCTCTTGATGACTAGCCGTACTGACAACAACATCTTGAACAGTTGTCGTCCCATGATGATGATGATGATGGTGAGGAAGCATTCGATGATGCATCTGGGGAATTGAAGACACTTCATTAGCATTAGTATTGGTATTATTACTAACAACATTATTATTTCCACAACCACGTTTCTGTGTTAACCAACCTCCGGTGAGACGTTCTTCCATTGAGAGATTTGTTGCCAAACCGGTTAACTGTATTGTAAGCGTATCAAAAAAGTCTGATAAACCAGAATGACAAGTATTCTCTATGATACTTTTTGCTCCGAAGAAAACTGGTTTCTCATAAATCACTTGAGAACAGACATGTAAGCGGCTAGTTGTATGATTCACCCGTAACAGGCAATATCGACTGACAACACAGAAACAATTGCACAATGGTACAGCTTGATTAGTAACTTTTGCGTCAACCACATATCGTTTGCCGAATTCGGATTGACTTAATAACAAAGTCTGAAATTTAGAAGAAAAAAGGGCAAAGTTAAACTTTAGACACCACTAACAACCAATCAGCAAACGACCTCAAACGGACCAATCACATTAAAGAGGCATATATGATGAATGGGAATGTATATTTGTAGAAAAAAGCATAAAATAGAGAATAAAAAAGTTACGTGGTATATCTTTCTCGAACATGTGAGAGAAAAATCTCCCAGTTTAGCATGGGACTGTCAATGGAGAAGTTACACCATATCCTGTACATATATTCATCCAAATGACTATAAATGAGATCCTTTTGAGATCTGTTTATAGCCCTTATCCTATTTTCCAACCTTCCCCAAAATCCTTCAATAGAATTTGTATGTGTCCTCGTAACGGGATCCACAAAATCACTTGAATGGTTGTCTCTACGATGAATATATCCCAGAGATGACAGCGAATTGTAGCCTTTCCACTCGTCGGTGTGTATAATTGACCCCGCTTAACAAGTCTGGTAATAATAGGTATAAGAGTAGTTGCTTTTCTATCTGCTATCCTTAGGGAGAGAAGCGACCTAGCAAAAAAGTTCTTACGAAATATTAAAATTATCAGCTTACTCTCTCTAGCGTTAGTAGGCTTCAAACATATAGCACAACGGTGAAAAAACCCATCAGTTGATTTGGTATAGCTTTTTAAAGTCATGATACCACCACACAAACAAATTCGCTATTTCCGGCGCAACTCAAATCCAGGAAATACTGGAAAACGCTAACCTCCTCGTATTGCAACAATAGCCTTGTAAGGTCACGCATTAGAAATGAATCAAGCGCTATACAACATTGAACTGCGTTCGTGAACCTCATTGGATAATTAGACGTCGTTCGTGAATCTCATTGGATAATTCGCTGATTGGTAAATAGTGGTGTCGAAAGTTTAACTTCGCCGAAAAAAGTATATATATATATATATATATATTATATTTTTAATATATTTCTGTGTGTTGAAATTGCTCTAGAGGTTTGAAAGATTTAATGGTGTAGGATTGCTAACCCCACTCTACGCCAACCCCCGTCCTTCTTTACCCGGGCTTGGGACTGGCTACAAAACTAGCGAGCTGGTTAACTAGGCGAGGCAACAACAACAACAACAACAACAACCGGCACCAGTCACCATTAATGGGAGAGATTTAACAGTGGTTGCTGTCTCCTTCATTTATCTGCCTAGTCTTTCATCAACGAATCTGAAACCAGCTTGGAAGTCTTCTCCACTAACTCACCCTAAACAACAAGATTTGGATTCTGTTCAACACCAATGTCAAGTTACTCCTTCTATATGGGTCAGAAACTTGCACTGAGTGTCACGAAAAAGATTCTCAACAGGTTGCAGGTTTTCATTAACAGCTGTCATCTTCTCTGGCTCCACACTGAAGATCAAATGGCCAGAAAAAATTTGTAACAAAAAACTGTTCCAGTTGGTATAAAGAACAAAATTTGAAATTTTTAACACCAGTGTACCTCATCAGTCAGTTCCTCCACATATGGGTCAGAAATTTGACAGGCACACCTCTTAAAGTATTTCTAACTGGCCACTGCAGACTTCCATTGACAGCTCCTCACTTCGCTCCATACTGAATATCAAATGGCCAGCAACACAACCAACGCTGATAACAAACCAACCAAGAATCTTATTATATGTGTAAAACTTGGACACTGTGGTAGTAAGTAATTCCATATCAGTTTGTTTATTAGATGTATCACACAGTCAGTGAAACAGCAGTATTATTTACTAGATGACACAGTTTCGAACACAATTTATTTATTGTTCATAATCATCATTTCATCAATTATAATCACACACGACTTCGAGACTCGAGATTTATAGTTTTCTTTGTTCTCTCCTATTTGTCGTCGTTAGGAGGGGGGTGTGTAGTAGAATTTTCCAGATATCTGGGTGGACAGGTGTTGAATCATTCCTATTATACGTATTCTATCCCAGTTGATTCGATAAACAAAGCTTCTATTATCAATCTCTTCCTCCATTCTGCTATATTAGATTAGATTTTAAAACTGACATCTAATCCCAACCAGCCTATTGTATGGTTGTGTGTAATTGCATGTAGTGAGCGCCATATCTCAACTATTCCATAGATTTCTTATCTTATTCGGATCAAATAATCTAGATTTTGCTAGGTTTGATCCTCCTGTCCCAAATATCTGGAAAATTCTACTACACCCCCCCCCTCCTAACGACGACAAATAGGAGAGAACAAAGAAAACTATAAATCTCGAGTCTCGAAGTCGTGTGTGATTATAATTGATGAAATGATGATTATGAACAATAAATAAATTGTGTTCGAAACTGTGTCATCTAGTAAATAATACTGCTGTTTCACTGACTGTGTGATACATCTAATAAAAAAACTGATATGGAATTACTTACTGCCACAGTGTCCAAGTTTTACACATATAATAAGATTCTTGGTTGGTTTGTTACCAGCGTTGGTTGTGTTGCTGGCCGTTTGATATTCAGTATGGAGCGAAGTGAGGAACTGTCAATGGAAGTCTGCAGTGGCCAGTCGGAAATACTTTAAGAGATGCGCCCGTCAAATTTCTGACCCATATGTGGAGGAACTGACTGATGAGGTACACTGGTGTTAAAAATTTCAGATTTTGTTCTTTATGCCAACTGGGTGCACAGTTGATTTCCACACCGACTTCAGAATAGTGAAAGTATGTCTTGCCATTCTGATCCTGGCTTCAACACCTTCATCTGTGCCGTTAGCGTGTAGTTGAAACGATACTATCCAGATATTCTGAAGAATTTTCTCATGTAGATGACGACTGATGACTTCTCTGTCTTCTGTATGTTCATTTGGAGTCCTATCTTGACTGCTTCTTCTTTCAATTTATCGATTTTCGCTTAAAAATCTTCGAATTTTCTTGACATGTGACATAAATAAAACATTCGTAAAATCCAAGTATTCTAGCGAGCCTTTTTTCTGTTCAATATATTGTATGACACATAAAATTATAACTTCAATGTACGTGTTGAAGTTTCACCGGAGACTTAACATAGAATTCTGTATGAAATCGTATTAGTGTGAAAGTAATTCCAGTTGTACGAACATAAATTACCCAGAGAATAGTGATTTATATACCGGGATTTAAATCCCTAGTACTTAGCGAAATCTATCGGTGTGCATTTTTACGAGATAGTGAGGAACATTTTTCCAACTATACTCATATATTACTTATTTATTTGTGAGTAGTATAATATTGCCTGCATAAAAAACAGGCTTATACGATAGACTGTAAAAATCGGCACACCATACATTGAACTGTAAATCTTGTCAACTCTTAAGTACTTCTACAGACACTAGAGGAATAGATCTAATGAAATCGGTAAGTTCAACTTTGATACTTGAAAATATATAAAAAGTGCAGAACATAGAGCCTTAACGTCAACACATTTCCATTTCACTCTGTTGTCTACAGTCTATTTTAATTGGTTACATGATTGACTGCTTCTCACACAATCTCCTCTATGTCACTCTCGGTGGGCGATAGTTTGTGCTCAAAACGTCATCAGTTAATATTATTGTATAACAACACTGTGTGATTTAACAAGCCCTGAACTGTAAGATTGGACTGGAACAGGCTGGATTCAGGAGAAACAAGTCGTGTATTGATCAAATCACCACACAACGGATCATCATTGAACAGAGCTTGGAATGGCAGTCAGCTCTCCACCTCACTCAACTTCATTGACTTTGAAAAGGCCTTCGATAAAGAGTGTTGATCGAGAGGTGATTTGGCATCTACTTCACTACTACCAAGGGTGCCGCCGACAATTGTATATCTCATCCAACAGTTATACAACAATGCTGCAAGCCAAGTAATCCACAACGGGAAACTTACGGAATCCTTCGAAGTAAAGACGGGAGTAAGACAAGCTGGCTGCCTACTATCGCCAATGATTTTATTAATTGCAGTATATTGGATAATGCGACAGACAGCGGGCAGCGAGGAAACAGGCATAAAATGGACTCACACAAAAAACTTGGAAGATCTGGACTTTGCCGATGATATATGTCTAACTCCCCACGAACTGGAAGATATGCCAGTGAAAAGCAACAAGCCGGCAGAAGAAGCATCAAAGATAGGACTTCAAGTGAATATAGAGAAAACAGAAGTGATGAAGATTCCTGGCCAACACCACCAACAGCAACAGCAACAACAGACAACAATCACCCAGCATAAATGGGAGGAACCTGAAGGAAACAACCTCCTTTACCTACCCACCCACGAAGCATCGTTTCAACTACAGGAGGACGGAACTGAGGAGAATATCAAAGCCAGAATCGGAAAAGCAAGACAAGCTTTCACTACTCTCAAGTCGGTGTGGAGGTCAACAGCATTCAGCATCAAAAATAAGATCCGGACCTTCAACTCCAATGTGAAATCAGTGCTACTATACGGATCAGAAACCTGACGCGTCATAAAGAGCATCTCAAATAAACTACAGATCTTCATCAACAGCTAACTGTCTTTGCTCAATACTCAAGATCAGATGGCCGGCCAGAAAAGATCAGCAACAGGGATCTGAGGCAATAGGCGAACCAACCAGGAACCGATTGTGAAACAAATAGGCAGGAAGAAATGGAGATGGACTGGATTGGCCATACTCCGAGAAAACAAACCATCAAGTGACATCACTAGGCTAGCCATCGCTCGAGTGGAACCCGAAAGGGAAGCGAGCGGCGAGTTGGTCGTCAGTGCGAGGGTGACTTGGAGGAGGAGGTGATGTGAAGAGGAGATGAAAGCATGTGGGCAGACTTGGAACCAGGTGAAAACTCTAGCACAGAACCGAATACAATGAATGGAGACGCGCAGCTGGAGCCCTATGTTCCTCTAGGAATTAAAGGAAATAATAATAATAATACTGTGTGATTTATCAAAATAAAATCTTATCCATAATAAAGTGGAGACGTGTTGTTGAAACCAGCCGTATGTTCCACACGGAACCCAAGGGAATACTACTAATAATAATTATAATAATAATAAAACAATATATGAATTACATATACCTGTTGTTCTACTGCAGTACATGTTCTTGGTCCAAGTTTTTGTTTCAATGTCAGCGTATAAGTAATCGTTCGTTCAACTTTATCACCATTCAGAGTAGTACTAATAGGAGGAGGCATAGCACTGGTTGCTGCAGTACTGTCAACTTGATCCAAAGATGTATTAAACCATTTAAATACTGGCCAAGGTGATTGAATCATACCGAATGTCCCGCGCAGTTCACTAAGACGTGAAAAAAACTCTGAATCGGTGAAAATACAATGAAATAAAGCATCAACACTCAATGGTATATCAGTATCTACATATACCCGACCCGGATGATCATGTCCTGGACTACAAGTAACAGCAGGTAGATGAATATCTAATGGATTCATTAAAGATGTCTGCGTCGGTGATGCTGATGATGATGATGGATCATGCGTGTTTATATAATTCATACATTCAGTGTTTAGCGTATTCGATATATCATCATGATGACGTGATCCAATACGTCGTTTACGTACACGTTTCTTTTTCTCTTTACCCGATTTAATTGATGTCGGTATACTATCAGAGACAATATCATCGGGTAGATTGATTGCTGATGATGTAATAGGACATAGGACTTCAGGTGTAGGACAACGTCGGAGAGTAGTGATTTCTTTCAGCTGATGCATTGAATTACTATCAACAAAACTTAATTGATTTGGATTTGAAAATGATGGACCACGGGACAGGAGGACATCACCATCTGAACCAGCTACTTTCAGTTCATCATCTGTTGTGCCTAACGCTGAACACTTCGATGATTGATCATGATTTACTGGTTGGTCGGAATGCCAAACATCTTCAAGGGAACCAGATTTTGAACGACCTGTACCAGTGAGTTGTGAAGAGATAGATGAATCGGACATTGATCGTAACTAGTATGGAAAGGGAGAGAGAGTGAGAAACGTAGGATGTATAAATATACATAAGTAAGTATACATAAATCGTCATTTTGTATATGTAGTCCTTAGTTGGGAAATAATACATATAAGATATACCAGTAAATGCGAATTTTCCTCCAAATATTTATACCTGAACTATGGGAGGATAGGAATCAGCTTAAAACAGTTATAGTCATAATTAGAATTTAATTAGTGGGTGGTGGCTAGCAGTTAAATCCAAAATACGCGCATTTCGTCCTACTTGGGACTCGTCAACCACTGGATGTACCTGCATTCCCAGTGAGTCAGTGATGATGTTCCCACCAAGGCTTGAACCCGGTGTCCATAGTTTCAAACGCCAAGGGCCACGAGAGCCGCCTTTTGTGCAACGGGTCATCTTAATTATTCAACTGAATTTTAGGTTTTCCTGTCTATTGATTGGACCGAAGTGCTTAATCTCAGGTTGACATATCGGCTTCCTGTGCAGATGCTTCGACGATGTCTGGGCATTTAATTAGAAGTTAATTGGTGGGTAGTGACTAGCAGTGAAATCCAGGATACGCATTTCGTCCTATTTGGGACTCGTCAGCCACTGGATGTAACTACATCGATATTTCAACCTGGGACCGACCACTTCGGTCCAGACAATCGACGGAAAAGTCTAAAATTCAAATGAAGTAGTCATCATATGACTCATTATTATGTGATTCATCGTGTGATCGGATGACTGTAATCTTTCATCATCTTTTTCTTACCTTGATCTCGATGAAATCACCAACCAATCAGAATGCTTATTCTTGCCTCGGACCTAATCGAATCGCCTACCAATCAGAATGATTCTATTTCTAATGTGGATAAATGAATTGAAATGTGACGTGCTTTCTCCTAATAAAACTGTATTCTAAAAATTTTGATATCTACGTGGCTCAATGAAGTGGTATGTACCGTGGATGAATAGGTGTATCTAGTATATCGATTGAGTTGTTCATTGCGTCAATATTGGTATATCCACGTATAAGTCCACTCGATCATATCAAGTGTCGACGCAGTCACATCAGTAGACGACGAGGCTATTCAAGTTCGGTGTACTCATGGCACCAGGATCAGAAATGCAATACAGATCTTCCATGATCTGAAATCAATGTGGAAAGCTACTGTACTAAGCATAGAGAACAAGATTTTCAGGATTTCTAACACTATTACCAAGTCAGTCAGTTTATTTCCCTTTACGTTCCCCCAGTGGAACATAGGGGGCTTCAAGCTAGAGGCTTGAAGTTTCTGTACCAGTGGTAATTATTTTTACAGAATGGGCTTGCTAGCCTCATGCCCCTCGAACCTTCCCACTTTACTAGTCTTACTGCTGGCTTAGCGAGGTAATGGAGGAGTGAGTCGGTGGCAGGGGATCGAACCCCAAACCAACTACCGCTGTGCCACCGATGCACTGACGAGTCAGTCAGTGTTTCGATATAATTCAAAGATTTGGTGAGTGCATCACACTGAAAGTATTTCGAACAGACCACTACTGCAGACTTTTTTTCAACAGGTGCCTTCACTGGCTCCCCATTAAAGATGAGATGACCAACCAGAGAACATTACCAACAAGGTACTCTGGTAGGCCGAGACAACATCAACGGTCTATTACCCAATAAATGTGCTGAAGGAAATAGGGATGGGCTGGACATAGGCTGAACAGACACTGTTTTTAAGTGATTTCACGCACTTGGTATGCCCTCGACAGAAACCCCAAATGGGGGACGACAAGTTGAGCGAGGGTCTAAGAGATATATAGAGGATATCGTGTAAGGAGAGCGGCGCGGGGGGGGATGAATCCTTATATTCAATTGTACAATTGCGTGAAGGTGGTGTAGATCTGTTACCTGGAGACAGACTTTTCGACTTCAAGTATGCGAACGATATCGTCTTACTGTGAGATAGCATGCAGGCTGTCCCAATCGCACTTAATCAGTTGGCAATCAGTGTCTGTAAGTATGGCATGTGCTTTGTGCTGTCTAAGTGCAAAGTACTATTACAAGATCGGCAAGAGCCTGTACCTGCACTCACTCTTGCTTGCAGATGAACCCCTTGAAGTTGTTGATAAGTTTGTGTATCTGGGTAATTGTGTGAGTGCTGGCAAAGGGCTGACGGATGAGACATTCAACCGTATAATTAAGGCTAGGGTAGCATACATCAACTTCAGCCACCTCTGGCGCCGTCGCGACGTTAGCCTGGCTGTCAAAGGTCGGGTATACAATGCTTCGGTGCGGACTGTCTTGCTCTACGCCTGTGAAACCTGGGCCTCTCAGAGCTGGGTATGTCCGGCGACTCTGCGTGTTCGGTCGTCGCTGTCTCCGCAGGATTGCTTGCGTTCGATGGCATCATCGTGTGAGTAATTCCCAGGTTCGGCCGCGTGTGTTTGAACACAGTGGAGATCACCATTCATTGAGTGTCGTCATCTGGAAACACCTGCTCCGGTGGCTTGGACATGTGCTGCGAATGTCATCCCAGAGGTTTCCATACAGGTCTAGAGACAATATGTGACATGGCTCAAAATCGCTGTCAATGGCGTAGATGTATTCAGTCTCTGTAATATTTCATATTCCTTTCTACCATTACCCATTGTGTTTCACTCTTATACTTGTCAAACTCTATTGATTCTCTTCACTCATCTTCTTGTCTACCTTTTTGTGCTATTTGAAACGTGGCAACTTGAACAGCTGCACTTTGGTGCCAAGTTCTATGTTGAATCCAGACAGACATATACATACAGCTTTCTGTTCGCTAGCCATGGGACGGGATGGACGGGAGGGATAGTCAGTCCATGATGTGGCGTCGTGGGATGAAGGATGTTTGTGCTAGATTAGCATCGGTTGGTGCGTCGTCACGACTCCCTGGTTGGGGTCCGAGAGAGATAGCTCGAATCGATGGCTCGAAACGTTATCGGATATGGCCAATAATCGCAGTCACCAATGGCGAACGTGTTGCAATTTCCTTCTTTCTGCCCTTCCCGATGATAGTTAACGAATACTGTTTGAACTTGTTAAGCATGACTGTTTTCCTTCCAAATGAAGTTCTTTATCCGTTTTCTGCTTATATGTTTTTACTTTTGATGTATGTTGTTTTATTATTATTATTATTGTGTGGTGCATCTTTGTTGGTGCCATATTGTACCAAGTTTTTTCTGCATTTTAAATGAAATATAATAAAAATTGTACAACCAACGAAAAGAAAAGAGTACAGAGAAAAGAATAGAACGATGATGTGTTGCTACAGATGTTTCACTTGGAACATTTAGGCGGTAGTGATTATCTCTAGAATTACGAAGTGGGATTCAGATTTTGTTAATCATAAACCAAAGATAATAAAATATAATATCAGCCTAATCCGTTCTTCTATACGGATCAGAAACTTGGCGCTTGGTGAGTCACAAAGAATATTTCCAACAGCCTGTTGCAGACCTTTATCAACCAACAACTGTCTTCGCTCTGTAATGAAAATCAGATGGCCGGAAAAAATCACCAACAAGAAACTATGGGAAGGAACAAATAAAACAAGAACCAATCGCCAACCAACAAATATGCAGGAGAAAGTGGAGATGGATGGATTGGACACTCGCTCGCTGAGGAGGCCACCGCTGGGTGATATCGCGCGCGCGTCAGGCCACTGCTCGAGTGGAACCAGGCTGAAAGGGAAGCAGCGAGTGGGTCGTCGCCAGTGCAAGGGTGACATGGAGGAGATCATGTGAAGACGAGTTGAGACAGTATGAACTAACATGGATGCAAGTTGAAAGTACAGAAGTGGCAAGTGGAGACGTGCAGTTGAAGCTGTCTGTTCCACTAGGAACCCAAATGAACAATAATAAAATCCAACGCGTTATTAATGAATTCAATAGAATGGATATTGAAAAAAAAACAATTTACCAACGCCTGATTTCAAACCTCAGTAAGTGCACCGATGAAGAATCCGAGACTAGGACGAAAAAAACAACTGTCCAGTACACTCCCTTGATGGTTCTCTAAATGATATCTCAATAGGTATAAACTAATCCGATGAAAAGTGAATCTCTCTTCAAAGTTGCTGTTGTAACACGCACTAAACTTAAAGTCAGGGAATTTAATTAACCAGAAGTTCAGCGAAGAGTCTCTTTTCGACAGCGAATTCATTTTCATGGCTGTACAATCACAAATATACATATGGTTGTTTTGTATGTGTGTGAGTACATTAAATTTGTCAAACGAAAATACAGTTAGTAAGTTCAGATGAATTGAATGTTGATATAAGAGTTAAGTGGAAAGGATGGCGATTGACTCTCCATTGGGTCCCATTCTGGCTGATTTCTTTCTAAGTAAGGTAGAAAATGGACCTTTGAACAACCTTATCAGTAAGCTCTCATTTTATTACCGATATATGGATGATACCTTCATTCTTTGTGATAATCACATTCGGATAGGAGTACAATAATTACTGAATTCAATGAAGTACATTCGGTTATGAAATTCACATGTGGAGAGCAATCCCAAGACAGAATTGCTTTCCTGGATGTCCTACTTACAAGAAAACCAGATGATAGAATAAAAAGAAATTTGCATAGAAAAAGCACTTGCACAGAACAATATACACATTTCCACAGCTTCGTTCCTACCAAGCACAAAAGAAATTTAGTGAAGACCCTCAGCCACAGAGTTTGAGCTCTATGCTCAGAAGAAGTAATTGAAGATGAATTAAGCATTGCATATGATACTTTGATCGAAAATAGCTATCCCGACAAATTTGTCAAGAAACACATGACAAAGAAAGCGATGGAAAAGGACAACTCACTATTTGTAAACTAGAAGCCTCTTCACAAACGACTACAATTCAAGGGCGATATACCACCAAGCGAGATAATAATGAAGAAATTAAGAAAATCGGTGCAGAGAACTTTTAATTCTGGCAAACTACACGTATTATCGTCTACACGACCGATGGTGATTCCTCGACTGAAAGATGAAGTACCTAGACTAGACTATCTACTTCAAATTGTATCTACCCATTCAACTGCGCCTGTGGTGGAGCGAGTTATATTGGCCGTTGCTCTAGGAACTTGATTTTTCGTGCTCACTCGAGAACATATCCCACTATAGCTAAGTAAAGGTGTAGTTAAAACCATTAACAGTCCGATATTGGACCATCTGGTGCAAAACGACCGACCACAAAGCCAGCCAACCAGCATTGAAGAATCCTTCTCTACCATCATCTACCGGGTGCGAAAGAAACTACCAAAATCATCGAATCATCACATGCTCCAAACAGCAGAGGCTATCACGATTCACCTGAAACAACTAATTCTCTGTGTCCAGAAGACACAAGTCAAGCCACCACAATTACCCTGGCTTTCAGTAGAGACCATAAATCCATGAATTTGTAATATCATCTTTCCTAATTTGTCTGTCTGACATTCAGTTTATTGGTATGTTGATGCTATTCAACTGTAATCTATCAATAATATTATTGATTCGATGTTATTTAAACAACATTAATGGTGTTCATAACACTAATTCATTCATTCACCATATAACTGTAGAGCCTGATGATGAAGGGATTCTCGAAAAAAGTAATCTTTGTTCGGTATCCATTCTTTCGGAAAATGAATTCACTGTCGAAAGGAGACTCTTCACTGAACTACTGCTGGTCTTCTGCCTATTAATGTTCGAATGGGAATTTTTCATGTAATTAATCGACTGACTTACAATAAATGGAACAAGGCGTCATACATCAAAGGAAGTTAGATGTGAAGATAGATACACACCGTTGACATCAGTATCTGACAAAGTCGTGCTATATATATCGCGAATTGGTGGAGGTTAGAATTCACGACCTAGCTATTGAGTTTCAAGCCCACTGGTCTCAGTGACATATGAGTTCGCCTAGTAATCTGAAGGTCGTAGATTCGATCCTCAACTATGGGATCATCATGGCTCTCTAGTGTGCTGAACAGTCCCAAAAAAACGAAGTGAACAAGACAATTTGTCCGATATCGCATAATGGTTGTTTAACTGAAGTCAATTTATGTTTTTTAATTGAATTTTAGATTTTCCCGTCAATTAATTGGACATCCAGCTGATGAGTTCCAAATAGGACGAAATGCGCACCCTGGCTGGATTCCACTGCTAGTCACCATCGACCAAAACGGATTTTTTTTAAAAAAAAATAGAAAGTGGACTTACTCTATGCGAATAGGTAGTCGGTGCTAAATCCGCCTCGCCATCGGTATCCTCATCTTCGACCATAGCTAAACTATGATCACCGTACATATCACGAATTTGTTGTAGTATCTCTTCAATACTCATTGCCTATGATAGGAAATTGATTAAGAAGAAAAAGAGGGATATAGTTGGGATTTCTTTGAGGAAAACCAGAAAATAAAACGTGGGTAAATCGTATGATAAACGTAAAATATACGTTAGAATAGAAAAAGAAACACACCTCACACTTCATAGCCTTTTTTTCATTATACACCAATACATCAGGTTAGTAGGGTTATTTACAAAATGACAGAAAAGCTGTAAGTTCCACTCTACTTTAAAACTACATCCACACACACAAACACACACACGAACACAAACATACACAACTGTGTCCATGTAAGATCGACATGAAGGATGTTGGACTTTATGAGGTAGAGTGAAATGAAGATGACTCACTAGCCTGAAGAATAGTACTAACTGCAGCAATAGGGAGGTAAGATGATCAAGGTGATGTGAGTAAAAAAGGATAATAATGCTCAGGAGGGCTTCGTGTGCTTTTGGAAGTGTATGAGGGCGGTTGTTACTTCCCGGCTGCCCACACCATAGAAGTTGCTTGATTCTTCGGATACCTGAAAAAGAAATAGGGTTAGTGTTGCGTGACCGTAGAGCCCAAGGGACAACTGCTTGAAGAAGCCAGTCGGTCACATACATGCAGCCTGTTTGAAGTGGTTTCTTGGATTGGTACCACCGGTTACGAACCACCGTATGGTAAGTCGTGATGTAAAACTTTAGGGGTCGACCTTTGCTAACCCACTCTCTCTCCACAGTAGAGAGACAGCATAGCTGGGATGCTGGTCGTCTGAGGGAAACACCTTACTGTTGTTACATCCCCCATTCACCAGCAATACAAATTCACCCGCAGACCTCCAGCATAGTGTAAAAACAAAATTCTTACACTAGGCCACTAACTACTTTTAGTCTAATTGCTATTCTAACAACCTTCATGGTATGGTAGGACCTCCAGGAAGAATAGTGAGGGTGTGTAAAACTTGGGCACTGTGCAGTATGTAATTCTATATTAATTCGTTTAATTAGATATATCAGACAGTGAGGGAAACAGTATTATTATTTACTGGATGACACAGTTTCGAACACAATTTATTTATTTTTTAGATTATAGTCTGATTCCACACCGTATTTTTGATACAAGTATGGAATTTTCAGCATGCGATCTCGGTAGTTCAAATACTGCAGGCCAACCAATTGATATCAGGTGTACATCGGCAGGGGATCGAACTCCGGACCATGTGCATGGTCGGCGACAGTCATAACCGCTGTGCCACCGACGCATAATCATTTCATCAATTATAAATACATAACTTCGAAACTTTCATCTTATAGTCCTCTTTATTCCATTCTGTTCACCAGAGAAGTAGTGGAACATTCCAGATATCCGGTTGAACAGGTGTTGAATCATTTCTATTACACGTATTCTCTTCAGTTGGTTCGATAAATAAATCTTCCGTTATCAATCTCTCCCTCCAACCTGCTATATCAGTTATATTTTAGAACTGTCATTTTATCCAACCTGTATTGCATAATTTTTATTCCTTTACGTTCCCATCGGTGGAACGTAGGGCATCTTCAAGCTAGAGGCTTGAAGTTTCGGTAGCAGTGGTATTTATGTTAACGGGATGGGGTTGCTATCCTTATGCCCAACCTTCCTTCTTTGCCAGTCTTATTACTGGCTTATCGAGCGAGGTAAAGGAGTGCGGCGGCAAGGGATCGAACCCCGGCCTACTTGTTTGAACGGCAAGCATTCTACCTATGTGCCACCAACGTGTCCCTATATTCTATGATTGTGTGTAATTGCATGTAGTGCTATAGCTGAACTATTCTCGAGACTATCCTGGGTCTTTGTGCTCCGCTAGTCTAACTGACTTCGGTTCTACTAATTTGGCCTGACAATCACTGAAGGGTATTTTGACAAACTAAATTGTTTTTTGTTTGAATTGGCTTCATAGGATTCTTTAACCAACAAAGCTTGTTTCTAACTTAGTTTGAGGATTTAAATGTCATTTTTTTATACGTACATTGTTAAGAATTCTCTGCTGTAAGGTTTCATAGGTTTCTTGTATTTTATAAAAGTACTACTGGTGATTTATATTCCCTATTAGTTGGTGTTGTCATTATCCTTTGTGCATATTTGACATATTTTCTGACTAATTTATCAGAGTAATTATTAATTAATTTTCAAAGCTTCTCTTATATATACCTCACTGCCTGTCTTAGATTTTCCTTGGTACTACTACTCGGCTTTTGGCGAAGTTAAACTTTCGACACCACTAACTACCAATCAGTGAATTATCCAATGAGATTCACGAACGCAGTTCAATGTTGTATAGCGCTTGATTCATTTCTAATGCGTGACCTTACAAGGCTATTGTTGCAATTCGAGGAGGTTAGCGTTTTCTAGTATTTCCTGGATTTGAGTTGCTCCGAAAAGAGCGAATTCGTTTGTGTGGTGGTATCATGACTTTAAAAAGCTATACCAAATCAACTGATGGGTTTGTTCATCGTTGTGCTATGTGTTTGAAGCCTACTAACGCTAGAAAGGGTAAGCTGATAATTTTAATATTTCGTAAGAACTTTTTTGCTAGGTCGCTTCTCTCCCTAAGGATAGCAGATAGAAAAGCAACTACTCTTATACCTATTATTACCAGACTTGTTAAGCGGGGGTCAATTATACACACCGACGAGTGGAAAGGCTACAATTCGCTGCCATCTCTGGGATATATTCATCATAGAGTCAACCATTCAAGTGATTTTGTGGATTCCGTTACGAGGACACATACAAATTCTAATGAAGGATTTTGAGGCAGGTTGGAAAATAGGATAAGGGCTATAAACGGAACTCAAAAGGATCTCATTTATGATCATTTGGATGAATATATGTACAAAATATGGTGTAACTTCTCCTTGGCAGTCCCATGCTAAACTGGGAGATGTTTCTCTCACATGTTCGAGAAAGATATCCCATGTAACTTTTTTATTCTCTATTTTATGCTTTTTTCTACAAATATACATTTCCATTCATCATATATGCCTCTTTAATGTGATTGGTCCGTTCAAGGTCGTTTGCTGATTGGTTGTTAGTGGTGTCTAAAGTTTAACTTTGCCCTGCTTTTCTTTTACGCTACTACTTACACATTTCACTAATCTTATTTTTACTGACATAGGGTGGGATAAAATTGAAATCCAAACATCGATTTGAATGTGTGTGTGAGTTTTCTGTAAACACTAGTGTGTTTTGCCTTCCCATCTTCTTTCCTTTTTTACGCTACAATCTAACATTGAAAACTCCTCTTCCTGACTTTTCTATTCATATAATTGGATTGTGAATTTCCTCTACCTTTGAGTTGATGTCATGGACAAATCTACTTCTGTCCTGTGGTTTAAGTTCTGTGAATGTGTCACCTACATACCTTCATCATACTTCAGATGCGGGGATGGACATCACAGTCGCTAAGTTTTCCGACCTATCCGTATATATATATATATATATATATATATATATATATAACCCAGTAAATAATAATGCATCACTGAGCGATAGATCTTTCTCTTATTCCTTTACGTCCCGTCCCGCCCCCCCCCCACCGGTGGAACCTAGGGCATCTTCAGGCTAGTGGTCTGAAGTTTCGATAGCAATGGTGTTTATTTTACGGGATGCGGTTGCTAACCTCATACCCCCCACAACCTTCCCTCTTTACCAGTCTTATTACTGGCTTAGCGAGATCTAGGAGTGCGTTCATCGGCCGGGGATCGAACCCCAGACCACTTGTGTGGTCGGCAAGCATTCTACCGCTGTACCACCAACACACCTGCGATATGTCTATTAAATAAATTAATACGGAATAACACAAGGCTTCAAGCTAGGCAAACTTTGAAGGTTCAAGAATAGCCGCAGTGACTATTCTTCACGAGGTGGGATTGTTAGCCCCACACACGCCTAACCTTTTCTCTTTAACAGGTTTACTACACTAGCTAGAAAGCATTTAACAGTGCGTCAGCTAGAAATCGAACCACGGACCAGATGCGGTGTGATTGACATGGTGTTCACCACATGAACCATCAACGCACACTTAATGTTGTCATGAGTGAGTATTTTTCTCATATATATACCTGAGACTTAACAAACCACAGAGAATAAGATCATAATTGTTCACAGCTGAAAAATTCAAAAAGAAATGGGCAAATTAACAATATATCGATCCCTATTTAACGGAAGAAGACAAAACTTGGTAAAGCAGTTTTTATTAAGGAAGAACACACCATATTTATACGTTTTTAGCCACGTTTAAGGTCGGTTAATTCTGATTGGTTGTCGAGTGTTGGCCAATGAGATTATTCCCCCAAACCACAATGTAGACTAAATCCAGATGTAAGGAATAAACAAACCTACTACTTCTGCAACTATTTTGACTTAAAATGTTATTTTCAATTTTGACTGCTCCCTATCAATCGACTATACTACTGATAAATCTTGTCAGTAGCTTGATTAACAGGTGTAAATCTGTGATATTAGATGATTGGAGGCAATCGGCCATAGGAAGCCTTGTTTTCGACCTAGGTTTCGTGCTAGTTGGCACATCAGTCAGTCAGTCAGTCAGTAAGGCAGGCGTATCTGCAACCATCTTGAAGGAACACTGATGACCCTTCTGAGGAGATTCGAACCCACGTCATCACCCAGTGCTGCCAGCAGTCAAAGACGTTATCACTGCATCAAGGAAAGGACCAGACAGACACATCACACTAGTTACTAGCGCCCAGTTAAAGTAGGTATGAATCTGTGCTGAAAAGAAAGTTTCCTCGAAGAACTGTTTACTAAACAAACAATACTCGTTTAGATAATTTCTTCACCATGATCTACACTAACTAGTACACTATGTCCATAATTAAGTTCAGAATGACTGTCGTTGACAACATTCATGTGCCATCTTTGAAATAACATTGAATCATTAAGAAGATGAATAGATTACGGCTCAGAATCATGTGTATGTGAT